TGTTCCTAAGGCAGTGCAGTGAGGAACTGATGGATGAAGAATTGTTTTTCTCTACTTGCAAACCAGAGCAAATATTCGTGAGTGGGACTTTGCATCATTCATTGCATCATTCAGAAACCCCTGACAATTTCAAAGGGAATGTACAGCTCATTCACAGGGTGAGAAGGAAGGTCATCTTCTCAATGAGAGAAGATTTTTCACTATACACTTGTTTTTATCTTTCTCATTTTTGCTACTTTTTTACTTTTGTTTTCCCACATAGTGCCCCTGTTGGTGTAGGGCCAAGTTTGATCTGTTGGAGAAGCTCTTTCCACACTGGGAACACTTGTATGGCCTCTCCCCAGTGTGGATGCGCCGGTGCCTGATGAGGTGAAAGTTGTACTTGAAGCCCTTCCCACAGTCGGAGCAGCGGAAGGGCCTCTCCTCTGTGTGAATCCGCTGATGCCTGAGAAAATGAGAGGTGATCTTAAAACTCTTCCCACACTTGGGACACTCATAGGGCCTTTCCCCAGTGTGGATATGCTGGTGGCGGATCAGGTTGCAGCGCCGGCTGAAGCTCCTCCCACATTCCCCACACTCGTAGAGCCTCTCCCCAGTGTGGGTCCGCTGGTGGCGGATCAGGGTGGTGCTCCACCCGAAGCTCTTCCCACACTCCAAGCACTTGCAGGGCTTCTCCCTGCCATGAAGCTCCTCAAGAACCCCCAGCTCCAAGTCCCAGCTGAAGCTCTGGGTGCCTTTCTGGCACAGAATGGGCCTTTCCGCCTCAGAGAACCCTGGGTTTGGCATGCTGCTCATCCTCATGTGGGATCTCTGGAAGTTTTCATCCCCATTGGATTCCTGTGCTGTGGAGATACTGAAAACAGCCTCTTCAACGAGGTTCTGCAGGGGGTATGTGTTCTCCCTGCTCTCCGTCCTCAGCTCATTTTCTGGGGCAGGAGGCACAAGGAGAGGATGGGATTCACCTCCATGCCAGAGGGAAGAGGAAGGAAATCCCCCCCCAGTCTGTCTCTGGCAGGACGGTGTCAGCAGCGGGGTTGTCCTGCAGCCAGGGGTGATGTTGGGTTGGGAGATGGAGGAGAAGAGAGGGGTAAAGGGCAGTGACTTCATCCTCACATGCCTGGTGGTACTGGGACATCTTCCTCTTCGTCACAGCCTCCTCCTCTATCCAGCCAAG